ATTTGAGACCCTGCTGCTTCTTGGACCACACTGCTAAGCATGGAGAGAGTCAGTTCAGAGGCCACTGGCATGTCATAGACACATGCAGCTACTTCACTTTGTTTCATCATATATGGCTGAACTTACACAACAGTTAAACTGTTATGTGGTCTGGGAAAGGAGCACCTCAAAGCTGGTGTCTTTCACACAAATAGCAGTTCCCTTATACTTGTTGGCGGCTCATCTTACTATGACTGAGAGAGTGGTTACACTATGAAAATGAATTGTATGATGGATCAGGGCTTTTGAAGTCAGTTTAAAGTCATGTGGTAGTCAAATGGTTTTGGTCACTGTGTGTGTCCTTTTGTGAAGACTTTTAATCCATTTTTAAATTCTGTTGTATATCAGTTGAAGCGCTACACAGGCTTCTGAAACTGTTGCATTTGAGGCTTTGTCTTATGCCTTCCTTCCCCCACACTGACTGCCTATCACAGCTACTAGCCGCTATGGTGTTATTATAAATATATATAATTCTGCAATCTGGTATAGTGTTAGTTCAAGATGACAGATATAAAGAATTAAAACTGAGGTTTCTCTGAAGCCCAGCAAGTGTGCACAGGAACGCGTGTGCACACACAAATGGGATTGAGAAGGAGAAAAAAACATGATTACCCCCGGTAAGACATATGAGTAAGTGGCAAAGAGAAACCGACCAGAGGAATTGTCAAGATTGGCAACTTCTAGGTTTGGAAAGGAGGGCGCACTTCCTCAATTTGAACCTTTCTCTCACTGCTACCTCTCTTTCCAGATTGGACTGCAAGGCTTTTGTCTAGCCTGAAACCTGTGATCCTGGCATCCTTTACTTGACAAACCCCACAGACACCATTTACACCCACTGAGACATTCAGATATGCCCAAACAATTCAAAATAAATCAATTTCTTAAATGCTTCATTTCCAACCAAAAGCCATGCTTCCTAAGCAAGAAAATCCATGCTTCCCCATAGCATATAGTCAAAATTTTCCAAAATTTATTTTAAACATCCTAAGCCTGATTCAAAAACAGTTTTTTTTTCCATGAATAACCAAGCCTTGATTGAGGTGCAGACCATAGGCTTCCATCACTCTCTCTGCTGGCTTTTAATCATTTGTACACTTGCATTGCAAGTAATTGGTTTTGCTATTGTTGCCACTCAGTAGAAAGGCAAAAGGGGAGAAAGAAAACATGCACTCTTGTGGTGGAGACTTGTGCTGATTTCTAGTGTGGCTGGTATGTTGCAGGGCAGGTGTGGGAGAGGGAGAAGAGGGTTGCTTTCAAAGAGGCCTTCCTGTGACGGAAGATGAATATTTATTGTACATTGTCCACAGCACAGATACGTTTGCAGGTAAGTATCATCACCCCTTTGTGTTGCTTTGTGAAGATGATCAGGTGGATTTTTTCCAAGGCAAGTAGGAGGTTTGCCCAAAGACTAGTGGGTTGAGGAATCAGAGAGCTAACATTTGCTGTTCTTCCTATCTGCTTTTTTTGTTTCCAATACCATTTTAGTTATTCTCCCATTGGTTGGAAAAACACTGGGAGACAATTCTAGGAATCTAGTTACAAAAGCAATTTCTGTAAGCTCTGCTGTCCCCTCTTCAGTACAGTATAAGGATTCCACACTGGGCTTTTAACTTGAATATTTCCAATTCTACCATATGTACCTGTCCATCATATTCCCAGTTCTACAGCCCACCATATTACCAGTTCCATCTGTCCTCCTCTTCCTTTTCTCCCAGTTCCCTTCTTCCAGTTCTTCTACTTTGCTTTGTCCCTAAAATATCTATAGCCTCTTCTCTGAATTCCATTTAAATTCCAAATTTAGCAAGGGGTTAAAATCCTTGTGCATCATGGGCTGGCCACATCCTTGATCCCCCCCTCACCCTCTAGATGTGCTTTAAGCAGTGGTCTCCAACCTTGGGCTTCCAGATGTTCTTGGACTACAACTTCCAGAAACCTTCACCACCACCTCTGCTGGCCAGGATTTCTGGGAGTTGAAGTCCAAGAACATCGGGAGGCCCAAGGTTGGGGACCACTGCTTTAAGCAACCAAACAGGCTCATGATGTTTGCTGCTTGCTTCCAGTGTGGCCACTGCCTAGATCAGACCATGGTCAAGTTAAAAAGGATTATTGGTTCTTTAAAAATTTCCAGACTACTCCATGGGCATCCTTTTTACAGACTAAAATGGCAGCAGTAATAAAGAAAAACAAATAGCATTTAAAAAAGTTAGAAGAATGATTTCAGCATAAAATCTCTCTTGAGAGTGTAAAAAAAAACAGCTCTCAGAACAGTCAATCTCATACGTATAGGAAACCTCTGAAGAGGCAATTTAATGACCAGCTCAGCTGTTACCTTCCTGTTGACATCAATGGGGCCTGTTCTCTGCAATACTGCTCTTGATCTATGGCTGAAGTACTGGCCCTGTTGAGGTCAATGATAATGCTTCTATTTGCTTCAGCTGTTTCTTTGAAGTAGTCTCTTTGGTATTATTGTAAAACGAAACGTCCGTCTTCCAACTTCAACCTTTAGAGTCTAAACACTGTCTCGTTTTGCTAATGTTTCTGTGGAGGACTTTAAATGTTTTAGCACTAATTACTAACCGGGTTCAGTAAATTAATACAGACAGTGTGAATTAGCATAAGATTTACATATGCTTAATTTTTAATTAGATATAATTAGCAGCAAAACATTGCGCTGCCTTGGGAATCCTATTCTGGATAATTTTTATATGTCTCAATACACATTATAAATAATAGCACGCATGCTGCATTTTACACAGTTCGTGCATGCTTATTTTAACTTGAGTCTTTCCCACTATTTTATGATTCTATTCTGGTTAGAAAGAAACTTATCCACTCTTCTATTTGTTATTGTTTATTTATACTTACAGCTAAGTGAAAAATATTTGATGGCCAGCCCCATCCCTAGACCTCTGAGGGATGTTTACCTCTGGTTAAGATCTTATGTCTGGAAGATCTGCAGTGAAATTTTGCTCTGCAATACAGTACAGGTTTGCCTTACTCTTGGATTGGTTCATGGTGAGACTTCTATTGTAAAATCTCTTTTCCTCATTCATGGAAATTCACAGGGCATCCAGATTATATCTTTGTGCTCCTCCACAGTTTCCCCATTATCTCTTCCATTTTTAATCAGAGAAGATTTGGCAGGTTAAAAGAGAGATAGAGAAGGCGACAGAATAAGGACACATCATCTTTGAACCATGGGCATGCGAAATCCTCACTTGATGAAATCTGAAATACACCACTGGTTTATTGAAACCCAGTATTTTTATAACGGTTGGCAATGGTTCTTTAGGATTTCAAACAGGAGTATTTCCTGCCATATCTGGAGATGCTAATGACAGATTGCTCTGTCTTAACAGATTGCTTTTGTTATGTGCCACCAAATTAATTCGAACTAATGGTTACTCTGTTAGGGTCTTCCAGTATATTCAGTGAGTAGTTTAGCATTGCCATTACCCAGTAAGTTTCCATGGCTGAACCTTAGTCTGACACTCCATTGAGACTAGGCAAGGGAATTTTGGAATCGGTGGACTATAGCCCCCAGATATATGCAGGAATTCCCATTAGCCCACAGCACCACCACGTCCCTTTCAGTGAGTAGTTTACCATTGCCATTACCCAGTAAGTTTCCATGGCTGAACCTTAGTCTGACACTCCATTGAGACTAGGCAAGGTTATTTTGGAATCGGTGGACTATAGTCCCCAGATATATGCAGGAATTCCCAACTCTTTGGGACTTTAAGCAAGAAATCAAAGGCCTAACAGATGTTTTCAGGTTCTTACAGTTAATGAATTCAGACTCCAGCAGCCATTTTCATCCTGTGGAGAAAACGTGGGAAATGGGCAGTGAGGGCTTCTCTCTGGCAGTTTTCTTGAAAGGCTTCTGTGCAGACCCTAATAGGCAGGGACTACAATGCCTATAATTCCTTGCAACTCCCACAGAGCTTAGATCTGCCAATCTATTTCCCCACAGGATAAAAATGGCTGCTGGAGTTTGAATTCATTAGCTGTAAGACCCTGAAAGCAACTGTCAGGAATTTGGTTTCTTGATTAGAGCTCCCAGAAGTCTCACAGGGGAAATTCTTGCAGATTTCTGGAGGGTGTAGTCCATGAATTCCAAAACTCCCATGCCTATTTGTTACACCTGGCTGAGGTGGCATTTAAACTGAAGTCTTGTGTGTCCTACCCATTACAACATGCTAGACGCTCAGGCTGCAAACTAGGCTTCTGGAGTTTGATCCTTCACTGTACCTCTCAGGAAAACAATCAGGGCATTTAAACTGAAGTCTTGTGTGTCCTAATCTGACACCCTATCCATTGCAACATGCTAGTCGCTCAGGCTGCAAAGCTAGGCTTCTGTGGAGTTTGATCCTCCACTGTACCTCTCAGGAAAACAATCAACCTGTGCATGCTTGTATACAAGTTCATGGTCTCAGTGTGTCACCTAAAGGACGGAGAGACAAATTACATTGAAGAATCTTACACCTAGAAAATCCTAGGGAGGTAACTGTAATTCAGAATGATGGCACATAATTATTGTCCTGATTGACACAGACCTACTCATAGCATTCTTGCTAAGCAATTTGTTATCATTTTGGATTAATTAATTTCTTTAAAATCTGTGGAGTAATCTGATGGCATTACTCTCAATGTATATGGTGGAAAATGGCAATCCAGGGCCATGAGGAGCCTACATGAACAGCCCTACCAATAGATACTGTTCTTACCATTATAGATCAGGTCCATTTATGAGTTTGTCTTTGGAAGAATAAATTTAAGAGCTTCAAAGAAATGGCCAGATGGTCTTTATTTAAGTTAAAGTTAGCCTGGGTTTGACTAGAACTTCAGTTATCTCCTCCCTACAGTTCCTGTGTTACATTCACAAATTTTGTGTAAAAATGTACATTTTCTTAAAATCAGCTTGGAAATGTTTGCATAATTATTTGTCCCTCATACAAAAAAGTAGATTTACACACAATTCATGCTGCAGCACCTTTAATCTGAGTTTTTGTATTATGATGATGTTCATTTAGATTCAATCATTGCTTTTAAAAATGTCATGTACACAGCAAAAGCTACTACAGAGTGCTCCAACAGACATGCATGGATGTTGGCCATGAATTTTTTCCTAGGCGATAAGGAAGAATAAGTCATTTGTCCACCAGCAGCAGTTGATGGTTCAGCAGCAGGTCCATTCATTTTTTAAATAACTTTCTTGGCTGGTCTTGTGTCACTGTACCTTCTTAAACACTTGCTTACACTTCACACCACAAGCTCTTATTTCCTGAAAGAAAGGGGGGAAATGCAACTCTTAAATAAGGGAGGGAAGACAAGACAATGTACACTACCATTTTAATTCTTTCTGAATCTGCTGTCAGTCCTTTTGTCTGATGTGTAGATCTGTCCAGATCTGGCTTGGATATGCAGTGACTGCAAATTCTAGAATAATTAAAAAGAACATGTAGATCTAGCCAATGTCAGCAAATCTGGGGACCATATTCTGCACTGATGGAGAGAAAAAAGAGCAACCCCTCACCAAAAAACCCTGGAGGTGTCTGGGCTTTGTTGTATCTTTCTAAAGGGGAACACTGCCACTGTCACCTAAGAGCAGAAATTTTCCCCTCTCTTTTCTGTCTCTGGCTGGGAGAAACACATTTTTGGGCAGGGGCGCTTGGGAATCTGATAGGACAAATAACTGTACACATGGCAATATGTTGCCCCTTCCTCTCTTAGATACTAAGGCCCGTGTCCTTCTCAACTGTGTTATTTTCCCACAAATGTATGCCTCTGTAATCAGACTTGGAAAGCATGTAGATTAAATGCAAGAAATGTAGGCGAGAAGAACTATATGCTGCAGTGAACAGATGTCTTCAATCACAGCCCTTCTTCTAACAGTGAGCTAAACACATCATCTAGTTCGACCCATATTTCGATAGGTCAATAAGTATTCTTCCTCAAATACAAAACATAGCATGTAAGGGTAGCCTTAGATCTTGCCTAGACCTTCCCAAAACAATTTATTCCACTCAAGCACCGTTTTCGTTGGAAATCTGAAGCGTATTTGTTGGATATATAAAGCCCAGACACAAAAGCCACATTTTTGGAGATGTTCCAAGAACTCCCCATAGACCTTCAGTGTCAGTAGCCAATACCTGAAATGATACTGACACATAAACAAAAAGAGGAAAGGGCTTCATTTAAAAGACGAGATCAAACTTAGTTTTCTAAAGGAGAAATGTTTGGACAAAGGTAACAATATTTTAAAGGAATAAATGACCTGGATGCTATGAACATAATGTGCTCAGTCTAAAAGGGTGCTTTTGATGTCACTTCACAGAAGAGATTAATCAGGTTGAAGAAAATCCATTCCTAGGGTGACTGACCTAAGGGATAGGAGTGATTTGAATGGACCTGGGCCTCAGAAGAAATAAGCACTTTAGATTTTTAAAAGGAATGAAAACTTGGTAGACTTCATGGAATTGGCTCAACAAATACGGAGACATATTTTGTTCATTCCTATGTCCATGAAGCAGAATTCATGGACATGAAATGCAGTAGGGCTGTGTGATCTTACAATGGCAGGGAGAGGAAAAAGCAGAAGAGGCCATTTATTAAAGAGTAAAGCATTCAAAAGAAAGTAAAGAATTAAGAGACTCAATGGCACTGGAGAAACAAGGCCTACAATAAGAAGTGAGTTAACAGAAGAAATATATATGTGCATGTGTGTGGGGGGGGAGTGAGCAAGAGAATTAACTAGAAAATGCTTACTTGGAAAAATGAGCAGCCTGGAAATAATTGTGACAAAACCACTGAAGTTTATGGTAGATCACTTAATGGATATCATAAAAAGATCCATTAATTAATATTAGGAATATTGTCTGATATTCAATAGGACCATAAAATTATTATTGAAGCTTTACAGACTAATTTTTATAGGAATTGGATGCCCTATAGATCAACAAATCTTCAAAATGTATTAAATATTTGAAGACAGACCTGCAAATATATTAGAAAGGTATTTCTTGGATAGAAGGAAGGTAGTGAAAATATATAAATAAAGGGATGAATGGCTGAGGTGCTTCTGATTGTGGGTTCTTTACTGGGGTTTATATTGAGTTTGCAGCCCTGGTCAAGAAAACTATCTGTCAGAGGCATTGTGGGGTGGGTCTTCATAAGGAAATACAGCTGCCATTAGATTGGACATGTTATATTTGGGGTCTTCTCCTCAAATATTTCTAGTTGCAAAAACAGGGTATGCCAGTTCTTTAGCACTGTATAACATGAACTTGCAGCACTGTCAGTACTTTAATACAAGAATAAAACTAAAACTAAAACTACTTGCTAAAAAGATTAGAATGCATGCAAATTACATAATGTGTGAATTCTGCACTAATTTTCCAAGACAAAGATGTCATCACATTGCTTTTCGTAATGTATCGTATTACATATAGCATCTTTAATGCTATTATCACTGTACAAATTATGGGAGCTAAACTAGGCAATAAGTACTGCATTTAACATCTCTTGTTTTTTTTAAATTTAAAACAACAATAGACTGAGTTTGCTGTAGGGAGGGGGCCTGATCCTGGGGGCTCACGGGAGAATGGAAAGATTTGCAATCCACTGGATGCAAAGTTGCCTCATCCCCATTTTGCTGGCTACTACTGGCAGAAATATTCTGGCAGTAGATATATGTGCAAGGTGCTCTCCACGCTTGAAACTGGGCTTTTTGAGGCCATCTATAGTTTTCCTTCTGCCCCTACCCAACAAAGAAGCTCCTCCTATACATTATAGCTCTCCCAGGCAGCAAGCAATTCTGGGGGTTAGAACGTGTTCCTAGATTCATTTTCCTGGATGTAAATTCTACTGAAATTAGTAGCATGAAGTCAGGCTATAAAGCCAAAGACTGGGAGTTCTACCTCCCACTGGCCTTCCAGAAGAAGGACCAGCCTGTGTAGCCTTGGGCAAGCTGCACAGTCCCAGAAGAATGGAACAGTAAACCAGAAGGACCAGCCTGTGTAGCCTTGGGCAAGAATGGAACAGTAAACCGTTTGTGAGTCCTCTATGCTTAGAAAGCCCTGGCGACAGTCACCATAAATTGAATTAATTATTATTATTTATTTCCCTAAACATGTTCATAGGAGTGAATGCCCAGTGCATAAATGGTTATGAAGCAGTTGAGTGTTGCACCTATTGTGCTCAAATGGGATTCAAGCCGGGATCTCTCAAATCCCACCCACACATTTTGTCATCATTATTGTTCTTCCTCCTGTGATCTTGCAGGCCCTCCAAGCTTGAATGCTCCATTTACTTCCACAACGCCGAGCACTTCATCTGGCTGTTTATAAGCTTAGCATCCAAAACAAACTGCAAAATGCATTTAGTCGGCAGTAAGTTCTCAGAGATGGCTTTGTAACCTCCTGTGGGGAAAGGGCTTTCAAAAGGGCTATAAACAACTAGATGAAAAAGAAGCAGTAATAAACTTTATTTGGTGCCAGTACCTAGGAAATGAAGAAATAACAGTTAGAAAGAAAATGATACTTTCAAAACTGAGTTGCCCATTTTCATTTCCTACGCTGTAAATTATGCTAGAGGGAAAATAACCACCTTTCCCTCCCTAACTCCCTGTCCCATGAATAGGCAGGCATGCAACTCTCAGCGGCTTTTCCCAACCTGCTGTCCCACCTCTCACTAGGACTCCACCAACTGAGGATAGGAATTGTAATCCAACACTTTGGGGAACAGTGACAAAAATGTTCACACACAGTTTCTGCCCTAGCACTTGTCAACAGCATATCTGTGGCTGTTGGCAGCTTGTAACTGGGGCTGCAGTGCTGGGGTGAGGCTTCCTGTCCTTGATCATCCCAGAAGCTGCTCCTGTCCATGACATGCCTTCAACTTGCACGAACTTATCAAATCTATACATTGAGGATATGCATGGTTCATATAGAGATTTCTCAAATGAAAGGGGGATAGAAGACCAATGGGATTGTGTAAAGGGATGGATTTAGAAATAAATCAAACACAACACTAATGACTTGATTACTCCAAAATTAGCTGATGTAATTTGGAAGGAAGCTACAGTTTACTGCATTTAGCCATATGAACAAATGGAGTAAAGGATGAGAGGGAGAAGAGAAAATTATATTAAAAACATAAACACTGGAGGCCCTTACCAAATGCATTTCATCTCCTTCAATCCACTGGGTCCAGCCACGGCCTTCTTTTTCACCCTTCTGTACACAAACAAGTTTATCTTCATCCCATGTCACACAGGTCTGGTTTTCAGAAAAATACAGAAAACTAATCAGATTGACAATTGCTTTTAACTAGATCATTTGCTTCCCAAATGTTCTCAAATTTCCTTTTAGAACTAAAAATCAACTTTTAATTGAAACAGCTATCTCTGGCACAGATTCTCAAAGGGAAGGGGCCGCGTGGAACATGATTTCTTGCAAGTGTCACTGCTTTAGGCCATCACAAAATTAATGAAGGATCAGAAATAGTTCAGTGTTCTTGCAAGTTACATGACAAAAGCCAGCCCAAGGGGCTTTTTCCACAGGAGAAGAAATGTGGAACACAGATAACTTGGTGATGGGTGATGTCTTTTCTATTGCATAGGAAATTGACACCAAGTAAATGTAAGTGTGCACCTATAAATATATTTACCCTGTAAATAAATTTACCTGCCATAAAAGGGGGAAATCTGAGGCTTTCCAACACATTCGTTCACCTGGAGTGCATTATGCACAGGTCAGAAAGGAAACTTACTTGTCCCATTCTCCCAAGTGGGTCTGACTTTTAACTGGATGTGTTTATATACCCCTGCACTCCTTCTGCTTTAAGGATTTATTCAGCTGGAGCTGGCATGAAAGGCCTTTCTGAAAATTAGTGTATTTAACTGGCTCCTAAATGACTACAGGAAGGGGACCAGGCATAGCTCCTCTGAGAGTTAATTCCATAACCTCAGTGCCATCACCAAGAGGGCCCTACCTCTGGTAGATGACTTGCAGGTCTCCTCTCACAGAGGAGCCTGGCCTGAGAGGATCTGATGGGACTGCATGAAATAATATATTTCCACTCCCTAAAGTCAATTAGACACTTGCATATTGAACACAAGATTCTAAACAGGATTCTGTAACTGTGTTTGATTGAAATTTACTGCTTTGGATTACTGCTTCCAGAATCTACCAGCCAGCTCTGGTTGAGGGCACTTTCCTTTGGTGTCCATATGACTGGCAAAACTGCCCTCTTCTCCTGACTGTCTGATGCTCTTCCCCTCTCCCATTCCATCTGCACAATAAGCTGAAACATGCATGCAGATCTTGGGTGCCAGGTAATCCACGGATACGGGATATAAATCAAATAAATAAATAAATAAATAAAAATAAATTAAAGCATAACCAGAGACTCAAAGGGACAAATGTGATATACAGGAGAGGGAAATTCTTCATAAATTGTGAACATTCTCTTTAGCAATGGGAATTAAATATATTTAGTTGTTCTTATGAGCTGGAAGTATTTCTCATTGGTTTTATCCCAAATGACTCCAGTTTTAAAACTACTTTATTTTTCTTCTTCTTTTCATGGCATGCAGTGAGTGGTTAAGGCAGGAATGTAAATCTTCACTCATCTCAGTTTTGAACTTAGGCCTGAAAATGGAAAACCACAAGCTTGTGCTCCCTGCGTGCAAGATATTTTTCTGTGTCCTTGCAGAGCGTTCTCATAACTGCAATAATGATTTTTTGCACATCCTGTGCAAAATTGGCTGTTGTCTTATTAGACAACTTGTAAAAATTAGAAGGACTAGATGGATTGTTTGCATGTTTTTCTTAATTAATCAGATGCTGCACCCTACCTAATTTTGTTATATCTGTGAACCTTGCTTCACAAATGGAAGAGACAACCAATTTTTGCGGAGATTGTGGAAATCTTGATGGAGGAGGGACCTGTCCATAGGATCTTTTTCACCTCTAATTCGAATTCAGAGCACCATACCTTCAATAAACTGATGAGGGCAATCAGCTTTCTTGATCCAGTCACTCCACTATTTCATAGCTCAATGTGCCTTGTCAGAAAATATATTACTAACCATTGCCTAGTTGTTGTAAGAATGAAAAGTGAATGTATGAAAGTGTTATGTGTGTGAAAGAGTTTGCCTGAGAATGATGCACTCCACCTTATTTATTTTGGAGAAGCAGCACGTTAAACAAAATACATTTTTATTTTAAATACATTGTTTCTCTCTTTTTGATTCAGGTGCCCTTTTTTAACACAATATATATAGTCTGTGTTAACAGAAACAGCTTTTAAAACAACCCATAGCATGAGGCAAATATTCCGTAAAAACTTCTGAACAATAGGCTCTGCTGTAGTTCCACTTCCGTACATCAGGATAATTTGTTGACCCACAGAGAAAACAGTAGCTTTGTGCAAGGATTTCAGTGCTGTGTACCATCTGCGCAGCTGGTGCTAATCGGAGCTAGGTTTACTGAAGGGAGTTAAGATTACACAAGGGTCAAATCAGGAAGAGGCAGGCACAGGCTGTAGGCAGGCACAGAGAGAAGCTGTGTGGCTGCCTAATGCCCAAATCAACAAAAAGAAATAACTTGATTCATTACAAGAATTCAACTGAATCACTTCTTACTGCTGACAATTCAATGGGCAAGACACGGACAAGTTTTTCTACCAGTAGGGGGAACTCTCTCTCAGCATTTTTGATCTTTGACTACAGCGCCAACTGACCTTGGGGAAAAACAGTGATTTCAAAGGTTCCTTTTAACTCCTTGAAGAGATTTGATATGGCAATGGAAAGTAAGCAGGCAAGGGACATGTTAACCCAGCATCCCAATAATTGATGATTTCCAGTAACCCACCCTTTTTTTCATCTGTTGGGAATACAACAGATACTTATGGAAGACTGGAGGAAGAAAACACTGTGTGTGCTATTCTAGCCAGTTCAAAGATGATAGAAACAGTGCCATGAAACTCTGATGCCGAATAAACTTGGTTTATTTCAGCAGGATGAGACATCAATGCAACAATGGGGCTTCCGGGCAAGGCTTTTTGTTGTGGCTCCAAACAAGGATGTCACCCATTTAAACTTTCCTTTGCTTCCCCATTGCTTCCTCTGCTTTCTTTCTGATCACAAAATAACAACAAATAACAAATACCTATAAAGAAGATGAAGACAAAATGGATGTTCCACGCTTTATGACTGGCAGCTCTAGGAGCTATCCATTTGGAACAGCATCTAGTGCGGCTGAGAAGGCCAATTTGGGAGTGACAATCCCTTCCACACTGAAGACAAATACAATCTGTCCCCTGTCCAGCTCCCTGATTTTGCTGGTTTCGGGACTGCCTCTTTGCCTTGGCCTGCTGGGCAAGTGTCTCTTCAAAATGGGAAATGCCACGATGCACCACCTGCCTCCAGGCTGAATGCTCAGATGTCAAGGTTTCCCATCTGTTGAGGTCCATTCCTAAGACTTTCAGATCCTGCTTGCAAATATCCTTGTATCACAGCTGTGCTCTCCCTCTGGGTTGATTTTCCTGCACTACCTCTCCATACATGTAAGCACATTTATTCCCTTATTTAAGGTCCACCACATTCCCAATATTCATAGCACTGCACAGTGAACCTGGATCCCAGGTCATAACCCTTTATTTTCTCCATTCAGTTTTAAAAACAAAAGCAAAAACACTGATCTGGAAACATAGAAATACCTGTTTGAATTTGAGAACAAATCAGCTCAAGCCACCTCCAAACCTTGAAATGAGTTGTGATTTGCATGCTGGTTGGGTCAGGATGTGCTCCCATATCCCTAGCTCAAAACAATATATGGAATTCAGCTTCCTTGCTTAATTTTGGGATCACCAGGTCACCAGATTATTAAACAAGAGAAATTCCATGTGGCAGAATTCTGCTTTCAATGCAAGCCTATGTGTTTTTCTTTGGAGCTCCTATTTGGCCCTGGAAACTCCTGTTTTACCTCTCCCCATTGTGTTCTGATCACCAATGCTCTTTTGCCAATCCATTTTCTTTCTGTGAGCTATTCATCGTCTCTCAATACCACCAGTCCCTGGGGATAATAATGACTGTAGTCTATGGAGCAAACATATAGCAGATTCCGAGTTAATGTTCTTAAATCTCTACTTTGAAGCAGTGAGAATGTGAGATACTCTTCTTTGATTGAACTCTTGGCCATGGCTAGTCAGAGTAGACAATACTGGTCCAGAGGGACAAAACCATACATCCTAGTATAAAACTGTTTTCTAGTCCTGTGGGAAAGGTTTCTCCATCATTTCCTTTTACTTGGCCGTTCTGTCATTGGAATTCTTTCTTCCCAAACTCTTCTATAAGAAATATAACTCAACCCAAAACACAGAGCCAAAGGTACATAGAGAGTAGCAGATACGAATCCCAGTGATCAAGTCCTCACCTTCAGAACAGATTTCCAAACAGGGATCCTAGCGCATTTAGCTGAATGCACATAGAAGCCCCTCTCTGACTGAGATCCCTGCCTTTATACAATTCTCAGTCATGGGAAGGCATTAATGTTAGAAACCCTATTCAAACTGGTAGATATGATAGATACACACACAGATTCTGTGGGTAGGGCTTGCATGCCTACCCGTGCCGCCATATGTGACACTTAGCTGTTGCATGTTCAAAGCAAGACACCTTAGTAGAGCTCCATCCTCTTACTCAATTTTCATACTTATACTGCACTCCTGCAGGTTTGATCTCCTTGCAGTCCAGGAGGAGACTCTTGAGACTCTCAAGAGTCTCCTCCAGTACCATAATTCAAAAGCATCAGTTCTTTGGCAGTCAGCCTCCTTTATGGTACAGCTCTCACTTCCATAAATCACTACTGGAAAAACCATAGCTTTGACTATGCGGACCTTTGTCGGCAAGGGGATGTCTCTGCTTTTTAAGATGTTGTCTAGGTATGTCATCGCTTTCCTCCCAAGAAGCAGGTGCCTTTTAATTTCATGGCTGCTGTAACCATCTGCAGTGATCATGGAGCCCAGGACAGTAAAATCAGTGATTCAGTGATTACTGAGTGGAAATTCTTAGTAGTATGACAATGTTGGTGCAAGCATTCTTGCTGTACAGAACTTCATGAAGAAAACCTGCCCTCCATTTGCCATCTTGCATTAGTGAATTGACAGGTGTTCCACTGGAAGCTCCACAGGGTGCTGGCCCATATGCTTGGACCATCATGACTTTTTTTTCTGTTTCTATGGACATGTTTATGGCTGCAATTTTATTTGCTAA